GAGCACAGATCACTCGACGGTTTACTTCTTTAAAAAAATTTTTTTTTAATTTTATTTTTAGGATAAGAAAAAAAAAAGTTGGGGGAAAGGCTTTTTAGAAAATTCCTTCGGTGCAGAATTAATGGCTTGTGAACGGCAGGGCGGGCGGGTGAGGCGGGTGAGAGCGGATTCCCAGCGCGCACCCCCCTGCCTCCTGGCCCGCAGATCACCCCGAGCTGAGCCTGGGCGCCTGGCTTGGCTTTTCCCAGGACCCCCAATCTGGCTGATTGAGGCTAGGGGCTCAGGGCAGAAAGCCCCAAAGGGACCTCCCAGGGCTTGTGTCCCCTAGGCAGGATTTGAATGACGCCAGTAATCCATGTTTGATGAAGAAAAGTTGTGTAGCCTGGGGAAGAGTGTCCCTCCCAGCGGGTGGGCTGCCTGCTCCTTCCCTGCAGTCTGCAGGATGGCAGCGGCTGTGCAGGTATCTGGTCCTGCACCCCCTTTCCGGGGCTGTCCCCAACTCGACACAGGATGAAGGCAGGTGCCTGGGGACCAGACAATACCGTATGAGAAGACTGGTTATGGGCCGGTCAAGAGAGACACGTGAGGGACCAGCAGTTGGCGTAATGGCTATGTCGCTGGACTCCCACGTAGTCGACCGCGGTTTGAGTCCCGGACCCGGTGGCTTCAACTCAAGCCAGGCGCGTGTGCGTGCATGCCCTAGATCCCAAGAGGAGAATGGAGGAGAAGAGATTGTGGCATTGCCGTCCCCCCAGGTGTGTTTCTTGCTTTCTGTCTCTCTGTCTCTCTCTTGTCTTTCTGGTGAGTGCACATGCCCTACAACAAAAACCTCTCCAAACAACAACAACAACAAAACAAACAAACAAAAAACAGAGAGGGACCTGGCGCAGCAGGGCAGAGGCCAGCTGAGCTCCTGACATGCAGGGCCAGGAATGAGGCTGGTGTGGCTTGGGGGGGTGGGAGGCCGAGGGTGACTGGTGGGAAAGAGCGGGTCAGGGTGCATGGGAGGAGCTTGGCCTCAGGACTCACGCAGAGCATCCTGGAAACCATGGCGGCTTTAGCCAGGGGAGACCCGCTCTGCGTTTTTCCAGGGTTCTTTCTCTTGGCAGCTGTGTTGGGGAGTGGGCGAGCTGGGGAGCAAGGGTGAACCCGGAAACTTAGGGGTCCGGGAGAGCTGAGAGGTGAAGAGGTGGGCGGTGGGTCTGGTCTGCCTCGCTGTGAGCACAGTAGCAGCCGTGTCTGAACGGCGGGGCGCTTCCGGCACTCGGGTGGCTGGGTACCGTGTGCTGCCCTACTGTGCTTAGCGCAGCCTGGTAGCCATGAGGGAGGGGCGGGAGCTGGGCCTGTTTTGTAGTCGGGTTAACTGAGGCCCAGAGAGGTGAAGTGACTCGTTCAGGTTACCCACAGCCATTCTCTGGAAGATAGCTCACGCATGGGTTTCGGCCCGTGTGCCCCAGCCCCACCGTCTCCATGGGTGGGTGCCAGCCTAGCCACCCCCTGGAGCTCTCAGAAATGGCCTGGCCTAGAAGCCCATCTGGCCTCACCGTGTTTATTTGCCCAAGGACAGAAGGACCCACAATGAATCATGGTTTCTTTTTTTTACCTAGCTTAACTTGTGCAAAAACCGTGTGTATAAGTTGCTCGGGCATGCAACAAACACAGAGAAGTTGAACAAGGGGCCCGTGGGTGGCCTGGTGGTCCAGGCACTGACTCCCACATGGCTGACCGTGGTCGCCTTTCGGACTTGGCAGCTTGTTTTCTCACTTCCTTGTCTCTGTCTCGCTCGGGTGAGCCAACGTGCCCTAGAGCAAATCGTAATAATAACCTAAATAAATCACTGGAAACCATAAGTTGATTATTATGTTTATTTATTTTAGAGGTTTTTGCTTTAGGGTGCACACGCTCATTGGAGAGAGACAGAGATGGTGAGAGGGAAAGCGAGAAATCACCCCCCCTGGGGGGGAAAGCGAGAAACCCCCCCCCCCCCCCGGGGTGGGATGGTCATGCCGCAATCCCTTTTCCTCCACTCTCCTCCCGGGATCTTGTGAGTGCACGCGCCTGGCATGGTTTTCAAGACTGGGTCAGCACTTGAACCCTGGTTGGCCCTGTGGGATTCCAGCGACAAAACTGCTACGCCATAGGCTGGCCCTAGAAAAGGAAGTTAAAGCAAATCTACGAGGCCGTGCTGTATAGGATGGCTCCGGGGCTGCATTCTGCTGGCTCACTCAGCCCCTGCTGCGGTCGTCCCCTGGGCAGGCACAGGCAGGGCGCCGGGGGCTGCTGGAGCCAGGTCAGCCGGTGTCTGCCTCCCCCAGCCTTAGTTTCTCCACGTGAGGGGGCCTGCCAGGGCTGTTGGGATCCGGCTGGCAGTGTCCTGGCGTCTCAGGGTCAGCCGCCGGAGG